CTAATCTTAAATAAGAATACTGTAAACCTCCGTACAGGTATATAAGGCATATGTTTGTTCGTAAGCATTTTTTGATGGGCTTGTACATGGGAGCGGGGGGGGGGGGGGGGAAATTCTGGGGGGGGGTGGCTTATATACGGACGACAGTTGATGTTAGTAATAATATTTGTTGTACCTCCTACATGTAAACTATATCGTTAACGAAAAGAAATATAATACAGCAAGTTGGTTAACATATTATAATACTGTAACGTAATTATTATCACTCCTCTAAGCTGTTGGAATTCCCGTCGCTACGTTAATAAATACCTGTCCAGTCCCATGGACATATACTGTGCACGGAAGGGCTTATATTCGGGGGGGGGGGCGGCTTATATATTCGGAATGGTCTGGGCGTTAGTGAATATGGTGGGCTTATACACTGAGAATATTCGGAGGTTTACGGAATCTCATTTCATGTTTTAGCCAAGATAGAGATGGTCAAGTCAAAGCTTGGTTTAGCATTCAGTGCTGTCGTTACCGTTGTTGCTTCACTGTCAATGGCTGCTGGTCTGTGTATATTTTTTGGTATGGTACCATCAGTAAGCAGCAGGTGAGATACCCCTGGGCAACAGTGGCGGACACTAGGGGGATGCCATTTCGCAGGGGTTGAAATTGGGAATACTTTTTCTACCCAAGTTACCTAACTGCCGACCATGCAGGAAACAAGATCTGGTCGCCAAATTTAATATCAGATCGCTAAGTCTAATATTGATCAATATACAATTCGTGAATTACGCAATAATTATACAGTATCATATAGACATATAGTATAGCTTCAGTACAGGGGGTATAGTAGTGGCAAATTGTGAAACTATCAGACTCCGTGTTCTATATAATCTCACCCCCTCCACCACCCTATCAGATAAATCTGTTTCAACATAACTCGAAAGTTTAAATGGGAACTGGCAGGCGGGAAAACGAAGCATTTTACGTTTTTTATGAAACAGTATTACCAGTTTCGATGTAATTTATTGCCGCTTTTACAAGAGAGTGAATATACATGGAACTGAGACAACCAATATACTGTATATTGTTGGGATATTTTCAATGTCCCCTTTCTCAGTTTAAAAACAATGCATGAATAGTTCCCATCCATACAGCAGGTATATTGGATGAAGTACTCTTTTTGTATATAGAAAACATAAAAAAGGCTGTCTGACATGTTGGCAAAGTATATGCAACAGCAGAATGAAATACTCAGTGAGTTCCATATATATCTTGAGCGAGAACTCGAGTCCAAAAAGTGAAGCCAGCTTCGTGTTAACCGCGCAGACAAAAACAATAGAAGGAGACTGGAACTGACGTCCAATAGCGCCTTCGATTTCCGCCATCTTGGTAAGGAGCCGAAATTTCGTATTTTGACATCGATTTAAAGAATAACACTATGATTTTATGAACTGATAACTTGGTTAACGATACGGTCCGTTACAAAAATCTGGAATATAGCTGGGGAAATGGTATAAAAGCTGTTTACGACCTTCAGAGCTATTGGACGTCAATGACCGCCATCTTGGCTTCACTTTTCTTATAGGCCGAATGACTGAAGTTCTTACTCCAGATATATATAGAGCTCACTGGAAATACTTGAGATATTTAAAATTACTTTATCATTTTAATTTTTTTCTCAGTCGGCACGAGGTTTATCTTTAGCAAATATCTGGTCACCAGGTTGGTCATTTCAACCCTTGAATGCTCTGCCTCTTTCGTTTCCGTCTATCTTCAGGAGATTTAATTTTGTCAGATCTGAAGGCTGTTATAAACTTGCGTGTTTGCAGTATAATCGTTGGCCAAACTATTTTATTTTTTCTTTATAGTGAAATATTTCCATACCTTGTAATAATCATTGGATTAGAAAATATCTTGGTTTTAACAAGATCTATTGTGTCGACATCTCCAATTCTTCCCGTTCCGATACGTGTGGCTGAAGGTAGGTAAGATTTGGTCACGATTTCCCCTCTAGAGCGTTTAATGCACGCGTTGCGAGGGTTTAAGTTCACACATCAAACGATGTACCCCAGGCCAGGGTTTTAGCCAGGGGTGTCCAAAACTGGCCGTCCAAAAATATACCGCGGGTGTGGCAACCTATATTCGTGGAGTTTTCAAAAAACATAGCGCTTGAAATCAATTGTCGTTACTCATAACTAGAAATACATGCATGCAACAACCCCTCGCCTTTCGTAACAGATGAAGTATAGAAATTACACATGAAGTATTTCGTGTTTAAAATAATAGTATAGTCGCTATGGTAACGTGAAAATAATTTTTAATTAAGAAAATAATTACGAGATAATTTTTTAACTAAAGAATCATTGATTTTCATAATCTGGAATGTAGTTTTAATATGTTATGTGGTTTTCGGGTTAAACGTTTCGAAACTTTGCCGTGAAACTGCAGGGGAAACTGAAAAACTCGTTTTGCCGACAGTAGTTTGCTCGAAAATACGGTAAAATATATTTGCTTCATAGGCAGAGGCTAGTTTTTGAGTTATATTTTGGTCAAGCCATATTTGCTGTACGTATAAAAAGACCATTGTAAACACACATAAAAACACAACACACTGTATTAAATACTAGCTTGCATATAAACATATTATTTACTGAGTTAAGAACGGCGTAAAAATTTCGCAGATATGAATGAAATAAAAAACACAAAGCAAATACGGCACTTACCCAAATCCCAAACATAGCCAAGAGGCCCAAGACAACGATTAAATTTGTTAAAAACGTTTGGTTCGTCTTCGAAAAAATTCGTGTTTATGCCTTTCACACTTTGTTCCACGGTTCACAACCACTAATTCATGAAACTGCAGGCTCGTTTCCTGTTTAAAAGCGAAATACATCGCAAAAATATATTGTATAAAACAGCAAAATACATCTTTGCAAAATGAAAAACAATTTTTTTAGCGCGAGCTTGTACTCGCGCATGCGCATAACGTCGAAGACCGTCCATCGCATAATGGAGAGCAACTTTGCACTTCGCTATGTTCTCAAACACCCGATTGTAAATAGTCGGGCGGAATTAGTACCCTCGCTCCGGGCTTACGCCCGGAACGGCGCTGGCTCGGGGAGTACTAATAATTCAGCATAAGCTGACATGACCGTAACCATCACCATCTATTCAAAATTGGCCGTCTAAGGCTACGTTTACACTATATAGGATAGCTTTCCGTAGCGTAAGTGTGTTTTTTTCACGTCGCTACGGAAATCTATCCGGTATAGTGTAAACGTAGCCTAAGTCCAGTTCAAAACATTGCTGTCTATGGATAGATAGATAGATAGATTGTTTAATAATTCACTTTTTGCAGTACAAATACTGAATTGGTATAAAGCGATTACAATATAAATAAGACTGAATACAAATTATATTACATTTAAAAAATTACAACCTATGCTATGGCTTACTAAGAAGATTATAAATATTAAAACTAACACTAATTTGTTGAATTACGATTATTTATGTCTAAACAACTAGCGATGACATACGAATTCTTAAAACGTTCAGTATAGAATTTCGGAACATGTATCTTCTTGTTGTTTCGTAATTGGTAATTTAATGAAGTATCTATTTTAGGGATTAAATTATGAAGTTTATGGTTCGGGTTATTTAAAATTTGATTAAAAAGTTTATTGCAGGCAATTTGCCTTCTAGCATACAATGACTCCATCCCAGCTTCCATCATCCCAGCTTCCATAGGACGTTTGGACAGTCGCCTCGCTAAATACAACCTCGCAAGCCAGGATAATTTCCGCCCGCCCAAAGAAAGATCCTGGGTACGAGGTTGCGCTAAATATAATATAGAGTTTCAGATTTGACTTCATCCTCGGTCCCAGGGCCTCACGGCTGTCACTGCGTTGCCGGAGGCCCTGGCGAAAACCAAAACCGGAACTTCAAAAATCTTGTAGTTTGCCGGAAGTAAACGTAATAAAATGCTGACTCTGCATCTTTTTTTGCAAGGAGTGAACTTTGAGAATTTCTCGAAAGAAATCATGTTTTACATGCAAGATAAACATTAATTTGATCTGGATTTCACCATTAAATGTTTTAATGATTGACCAAATCAGTAAACTAAAGGATCATGTAAATGTTGCAATTATGAAAGCTGTTCAAGTTGATGAATCGAAGGATACAATGTGTAGTTTGGGAGAGTCATTGTATACGGACAGCAATCAATTGGAGAACATGAAAGTTTTTGAATTTTTATTATAATCGACGAAATATACAGACAATTTAAAAG